AAATAGAAAAAATGCACAAGATAAACTATAAAATACAACAAAAAAATATTTGTCATTACCCTAACTTGCCAATACCTATTATGTGACTCTTGATTGTATTCTAAACAAAGTCTTCCGTGCAAATTGAGCTTGCTGCCCTTTTATAAAATTTAATAAAAATTCTATTCTTACTAGTGAAAATCTTAAAACGGTATCATACAAATTACCATATTACTAATAATAGAGACGATAGCGAAATAACCACTGACCTCTCGGATATAGCTTGGAGTGCATTCCGCGTTGCCAAGAGCACTTTCAGCTAATGAAGTTTTCAAATCGATGCAGGGGAACGCGCTACGGAACGCCATTTCTCGCCTTCCTAGAAGCGAAGAAAGTGGTTGTGGAAGTGGGTAACCTATGCTAGTCTTCGTAGCATTCCCTTGAATTGATTTCAAAACTCTAAGCCGTTCCTTCTCTTTCCGAATCTTCTGAAAGTCACTGCTCCGATATCCAATAGCCTGAATATTGATAACTACTCAGAAGATTCAGTAGCACTCGAAATAAAAAGTACTTGGTGAACGACTACACGGGAAAAAACTAATTTGTTAATTCTTAGTAAAACTAACAGATCCACTGGCTTCCTCTTGAACTCTGTAATACTTGCGTGTTCTTGAATCATAAGCAAATCCCGGTATGTCGCTCTCTTCCTCACTTGGTCCTCGCACTACAAGATTTGCTAGTGACAACGGAACTGGTGATTGAGGTTCCTGATGATGCTCTTCACGACTGATACATGACTCTTCCTTGTTCTCTTGGTTTCTATAGTAGATATCCCAATTTTAGTCTGTCCAGCTTCGATTTATACAAAAGTATGAAAAGCAAACGTACCTGTTGGCACGAAAACCATGGTTAGAATGCATATTATGGCGAACGTTCTGCGCAAATTGATTGCGCTGTCGGCTGTCTGGAAATCTGTGATTCTTCTTCCTTGTCATTTGTGGATTGTTACCTGTGTAGCGACTGTACTGCTGCTGATTAGATGCTTAAAAAAAACAGATGGTGCTCTAATTACAGATAAATTAAATTTTTTGTCATATATATCAAAACAGCGTCTAAAGCGTACCAGTGGAAGAGTTCGGTAGAGAAGAAACTGTAGAAGTTAGTCCTGATGAAGAAGGTTGTTCATTTTTAAGGTAGTCTATAATACTCTTCATTAAATAAGTTCGCCTCCAAAACTTTTTTGATAGTAACTGAGAAAAACAAAAAATCAAATGTCCTTAGAATACTTGGTGACTTACAGCGATTTCTATAATTGTACCATCGGCCTCGTCTCGCTGACCTAGACTTCGAACAAGATTCATTTTGGTTCATCCTCTAAAACCTCGTACGTTATTCTATAACAGAACCAAAAACAGACGCCAAAATTATAAAGACAGTCAGTAATTCAACAGATGCAGAGAAACAAAAACTAGAGAAAAATAAATTCCTCAGACAAGACAACGGAACTGCAACCTGATTTCCCAAAAAAAAAATATAGAAGGAACAAGAAAGAAAAAAAGATATGCAAAACAAAATCATAATCTCCATCAAAAAAGCACAATCTATTTCGGGAAAATGCCTCAACGCTTTATAAAATAACAGCTATATTTCCAAGGAAGCCCAAATACATATTTATACGTAACTTTTGGCCAGAAAACTCTACACAGAAATAAAAGAACTAAAAGCTAAATAATAAAATGAACAAAATGCTTCGTAATATCTGCACACTAAAAAATGAAAGGTTGCTTTTCCTATTAAATATGACTACTACTCGCGATAACCGTGAAAGGAACGACAAAACCAGCACTGCCACGCATTCACAATGATGATGAATAAGGTTCTCAAAAAACGACGGCACTGGATAACGAAATGTAAAAGAAAGGATGGATAGCGTTAATGGAATCATTCCCAAGAAGAACAATATTTACCGAAAAAGTCGAGGGAACAGAAAGGACGAGACCTGCAAGTACGAGGAGTAAACCTAGATACACACAAATCCAGTAGAGCGAAATAACCTGTGCAACTCTTAAATACAATACGAACATGTCTTTTTCGACATGCCAAATCTGATGGTAAATAGCAATCACAAACATAAATATCTTCGAAATTTGTAAGATAGAAAATTAAAAATTGAGGAAGAGTCAGTACAAAATACGAATATAGCGTTCTTAACAGAAGATAACGCAGTTAAATTGAATAAAAAGTTTAAAGTAATAAACTTAACTTCCAACTAGTTTATTAGTATATCTAGAGAAAAACTTCCCTCCAGCAATGAAAAAATGCTTGCTCATTTTCTCGTGATAAAAAGTGCTTATAAAGAAACAGCCTAAAAGAAAATATTATATGCTACAAATACTTCAAAACCCATCTGGATTAACCCTTTAACAAATGTGTTCGCCAAAAAACTTTCTTCCAACACACTTTGTTTCCCCTCTGTTTTAACAGCATCACAGTTACGAAAAATTTATAACCCGGTTCAAAAAAAACTTTCCGAATAACTAAACATAGCCCCTCACAAGCAAAGCCAATCATCCTATCCTGTTTGACCAACAGAAATCGAAAATAAAACGACTAAGATTCTCCACAACTTAAACGGCATAACATCCTGTTAAAACAGAAGAAGATGGCTCGATAAACCAAAAAAAAATTTAAAAAAAAACTGTATAAAGATGATTCAAAACAGTTACAACTGCCCTTCCAAATGCAGACACCTTGACTATAACAATAAAAAGTTTCCGGAAGCTTTTGATTGCACTCTCTCATTTCACCAAAAATAAATACATCTCCCCCCCCCCTCCCC